TTTTCCCTGGTTGCTGAGTCGGTGTTTTAGTGATGGTCGGGCTATTATTGTTATCAAGATAGAATTGACTGCATCTCAGCAATGGCGTAATGTCGGATTGCACGTCCACCCACAGATTGTTTTTGAGTCCACATCATATTCTGTAGGCATGTCGCCGTGGTGCGTAACAGGCGAGCACACTGGATTTGCCGTCGGTTCGACCTCCCAGCGCTGCAGTTGAAACAATGGTGGCCAAGTCCCTTAAATCCCCTTCTGTATCCACCCGGCAGTACAAATGGGTAATCACTGTGAGTCGATGGGCAGGTTGTGTGTGGTGGGGTAAAGTGTGGGTACCCTCACCGATTTGTGGCCAGATGTTAACGACCGCGTCTGGTATACAGGAGGTCGTGGGTTCGACACCGACCCTTACGCCTGCTGTATATTTGAAGTTTGCGTGTCTCCCTCCACATTTAGAAGCATGCGTTTAGAGTACAGTATTTATATTCTTAGGTTTTTTCGGTAAAGTCACGTAGGCAAAAAAAATAATTAATAAAGCTCAGTCCTATTTACACGCACCTTTACATCAGCCGCACATTAACAACTCTTGGAACCTCCCAGTTCAACCAGTCTACACAACAAAGGATCATTCCTAGCAGCGGGCTTCAGCCGCACGAACCTCACACTAATAATAATATCCAGGGGCCTGCCTTGGCTCCTTCCACCCTCAACCAGTATATATACAAGGACTGTTTTCTTGGAATTTCCCTTACTTGATACAGCTATCGTGCTGTGACGGTTCCACCTGAAGACGGAAGCTTGTGTTGCCTCCGAAACGTCGTAATTTTTCTTTTATTTTACTTTTATTAATTTTAATTTTTTACCTACGTGACTTTACCGTAAAAAACCCAAGAATATGAATCCTTGCAGTCACGAAAGCTTCAAATCTAGAAAAAAAAACTACAGTATTTGGCTGCTATAGATGTTCACATGATAAGCCACTTCGTTGAGCTGTAATTTGTGGCCAGGTTGCTTCTGAAAATGAGCTACATAGCGCAGCGGGCATTACCTGGTTTAAATAATATATATATATTTATTACGAGCATGTAGCAGTCAGGCTAAAATAGTGCTTTGGAGGCTTCCTATAGCTCCCTATAGTGGATGCCCTTCTGCCAGCAGTGCTGTAAACAAGCAAGTTTGAGGGCTGTGCCATTAACTTCACCATTCTTTGTGAGCGGGTTCCTATTAGTTAATGAGATTAAGCTGATGGAGCCGTGATGGTATACATAAGCTCTTGTCACGCAAGCGATAGACAACAATGATACATAAAAAACACGACTGTTATGTATTCATCCAGCAATAGATCACCAAGCCTCGAGATTATCTTTCAAGAGGCCCTGTCTTTGGAATGTTTGAGAATGCTCAGTTGTAAAGAGTAGTTTTTTTTTTCAAATGGAAGGAAAGCTGAGGTTCATGGGAGGAAAACAAACGATGATGCGCAACTGAAAGTGTGTACAGGTGGGTCACTAACCTATTTGCTGTACTGCCATCTCCTGGCCATTGCCTGTGATGACCTCAGCATCATCCACCAACTCTCTTGATGGGGGCGCGCGGTAAGGGAGGGGGTAGAAGGGAGGGGTTAGGGGGGTATGGTGGAGGTAATGGTGGGGGGGTTTGCGGGAGGGGTGGGGTAGGGGGGGTTAAGGGGGAGGGGAGAGATTCTGGGGAGGGGAGGGGTGGGGTAGGGTGGAGGGGTGGGAGGAGGTTCCTGGGGATGGGAGAGGTGGGGTAGGAGGGGGATGGGAGGGGTGGGTGGAGGGGGAGGAGTGGGGGGAGGATTGGGGGGAGGGGTGGGTGGCGGGGAGAGGGGTGGGGGGAGGGGTGGGGTAGAGGGAGGGGGCTTTTCCTGTCTCTGCTTTTTTATCCCTAAAATTGCACTTTCAGTTGGCATCCCTTGGGAGGATAAACAACAATTTGATGTTGAATGTACAACGCATTACAAGAACAATATTCATCGTGCATTCGCAATCTCCGTAATTTTTTGATTAATGAGATGTTTACATCAATGGAAGATGCTGCCAAATTTTCCTCGCCGTGTGCTTGTTGCTGTACGTCGCGAGGCGAATGGAAATCCAGTCGGACGTTAATAGACCATTCGGCCCATTGTGGATGGGCTCTCAGCTACTCACAACCCCGGCTTGTCGTGCCCAGAACTCGTCAAATGTTCCCTGAGGGCCATCGCGCTCCATTGGGATCTGCTGCGCAGCCGAGCGTTACGGGGGAGAAAAAAAACCTGCCATGGTACGTGAGAAATTCCAATACAGTCCTCGCAAAAACAACGGCGCGTCCAGCCTCGTGCGGAAGACGCACAGCTATATCTCTCAATAGATACACAACAACAAACACATTCCCAGGAATTCCCAATTAGCAATGGTTGAAGGCTGTGCACGACATGTCGGGATGTATTTGTTTGGCCTGCCACCTGGATTGGAACCCCAATTCGGGCCCTCCTGCAGTGGTTGAAGATCGACAAAACACAATAACAAGAAGAGCCATTTTGATCGAATTCGGTAAAAAAAAGCCTCAATATTTCAAGAGCATCTGTGGTGAATACGAGACGGTGGTGGTCCTTAATAAATAACGGCACGAAGCAGCAGTCCTTAAAGAGCCGCGTGCGGCTACGAAGACATAGGTTGCTGACCCCCTGAGATGGGGGGTCCATGCGTTACTCCTAGAACGGGGAGATGTGTGCATGGCTAAAACAAAAACTGCACTGGTCGCTTACGTTAGCTCAGTTTGTTGAGCGACCACGAACACGTTTCCTCACTCTCCCGCCATCCCCAATTCTCCCATGTCACGGTCTGATTTTGTGTTGATAGCTCACGAGCATTGCCTCCGCTGTTCATTTCTTACGGCTGTTCCGGTGGAGTTGTGTTAGGTCTGCCGTAGTTTGGAAGTAGTGTAGATAGGAACCGCGGGGTATTTATGTGTACACGTTGAACTTCTTTCGCATCGTACGTAGCCCATCGTGCTAGTCGGAGGTGCGAGGGAAGGACATCAAACTAAACACGAAAAAGCAGTTCTAAAGAATTGAGTTTTCAATCTAGATTTAAAAGTGCATATCTCCCAGTGGCTCCCTAACATCGGAAGGCAGGAGCGTTCCAGACGGCCGCAGAAGCACATCTGAAAGCGCGCTATGCAGTGACCGGTCTTTGTTCGATGGCCAGCCAAAAAGCCGCTGCGAGGGTGGACAGAGAGAGCATGGCCAGAACTACGATTCAGTTCTTATATTCCGGCACAGCGGGTTTCCGCACGATGGAGTTCAAACGATTTGTGCAATAGATTTGATGTATCATGTGGCCCAGTAGTTGTTTTGGTTCCCATTTATACTTGCTTCATCGCTGTACTGTACTTTGTTTTTGTCCTTCGTCATTTTGGTGACCCAGGTAACGCTTGCACCTCGTCAAAAATCAAATGAACTTGTACCATTGATTGCTAGTTACTATAAAAGTATAATATTTGACCGATTTTCAGATTTAAATACATAGAGAAATATGACGAACAGGACATACCCTGTCACCGGTATTGCAGAATAAGCGGTATTTTATTGGACAATACACTAAAAGTTGGTGGCAAAATGAAGTAGTAAATAAAAATACGATTTCTGAAACCACACATATTGCTAAACAGGAGAGAAATTATGAACAGGAGATAAATAGAAGACAAAAAGGATGAAAGTGTCAAACAAACGGATTAAAAGACAAGCCTTTGCAACCTACGTGGGATAAAATTAGATTAAAAAGATTTGTGTATTGGTGCGGTGAAACCTCTTGGAGCTGCGTCCATTCCCGTTTCTTGGGAGATCATTTCATTCAGCGCACACAGTCGGCGAAGGACCGTTTGTGTGACCCCTTGCGACAGCGTTCTTATAAACTGCTCTTGCTGCCATACTCCGGCGTAACGAGTGATTTGTGTGATCCACGGATCATGGGGAGAGAAACGGGAGGGGGACCACGGGGGGTGGCGCCATTCATTTGAACGTCGTCCTCCAACTGCAGCGAGCGCAATTTGGGAGATTGATCCTCGACAAATATCAGGTATAGGCATCGGCGGAGTTTGACTTCGATATTTGGGGGGGGGGGGGGGTTGATTTGTTCCTCGCATTAGGAATCGCGGGTGTATATAATGAATACATATTTTAATCTTAAGAGCAAACTACAGGGACTCCTCTACTTACGAACGAGTTAGGTTCCAGAGTTCTGTTCGTAAGTCGATTTGTTCGTAAGTCCAACTTTACTCCTGTCGATGCCAAACATGTTGTACGGCGTGTACACTAAACACGGGGAATGGCTTTACAATTCTTTGGTTCTTTCGGTTAAGTCACGTCTAAAGATAAAATAATAAATTAAATAATAGCATAATACGACGTTTCGATTGCAACACAAGCAATCATCATCAGGCATAAAAGAAATATCAACAAAAATCTAACTAGAAAACTATAGACATAGACATATTTGTTATCTCTGCCTGTGTCCTCTCTTTGGAATTTTCACACTTAAATTCTAACTTAGCAATCTTTGAAATACGTAATCAACCGGGCTATGCGTTAATTGTGTGTTGACCGACTCTCTGTGTTGCATTACATTATATTTCGATATTTTACTAGGTTATTTAATTTTACTGTGTCTTTCTCCTGATTTTCAAGCTTGCGTGCCGTGCCGCGTCGTCATCTTACTTGCAGCAGCATCACGTTGCCGTCCACTCATTGATATGCAAATTTTTTCTCTGCCCCCTCCCTCTCTCCGCCCCCGCCCCCCTCTCTATATTTAAGGCACCGTCACAGAAACGACCTCTCTCTTTGTGCCGATGTGTCCTCTCTCTGTGTGTCCTTGTGATGTCTGTCTGCTTGTATGTCTGTCTATAGTTTTCTAGTTAGATTTTTGTTGCTATTTCTTTTATGCCTGATGATGATTGCTTGTGTTGTAATCGAAACGTCGTAATATGCTATTATTTAATTTATTATTTTATCTTTAGACGTGACTTTACCGAAAGAACAAAAGAATAATTCCTGCAGTCACGAAAGCTCCAAAATTAATGGCTTTAAAAGTTGTATAATCTCCTGTAGATGTAGATGCCACCGGTGCTTCACGTTCTGCAAATGTAGATGCCACCACCGCCATCTATTGCGCGGCGGTTGAACTTACGACTCTCGGCCCGAACAGGCAACTGGACATACTGTAGGGACAGGTTTGTTCACATCTCTGAAAGTTCATGAGTCGAATATTCGTAAATTAAGGAGTCCCTCTACTGAAAATATATTAATGAAGGTGTCTAGTTTGGGTGGGGCGTTACCACCTGTGCCCCCCCGCCCCCGCATATTCCACCCATGGGTATAGGCCTGGGACAGTGCCATGTCCCTCCTTCTGGGTCATGATAATGTTGGGAGCGTGGCTCGTATTGCCCGTGCGCCCCGGGCTTTGTCCTCTTGATCGGCGGCAGAGGACGCGGGTTCCACAGCGAAACCAACGTCACCCGGAGTTTGCTGCTCGCGGCGCGATCGGGTTGTGATGACCCGCAGTTTGGGGGCCGGCCATAAATGACGTCACGCACCTAGGTGGGGGGGGGGGGGGTCGAGATATTTGTGACGATGTGTGACGAGGGGGGGGGGGGGGGTGAGAAATGTGGTGTCACATCAAAATGCGCAACTTTAAATGAATATAATTAAATATACTTTTTCAATAAATGTCTTCTCCTACAACATCAGAGTGCAGCGCCACATTAAATACGCACGACAATGACAATAGTTTAAAGCCATTTGAAGCATGTTTTTTTGGGGGGTGGGGGGGCAGAGCTTTGTGACGTCATATTTGAGTGGGGTCTGACTTTTTGTGACGCCGTGTGACGAGGGGGGGGGGGGTCAAAAATCGTCCAAAATCGCGTAACGTCATTTATGGACGGCCCCTTTTCCATTAAAATGGTGTACTATTCATGTACTAATCACGTGCTATTTACCATGTATTTTCGAGAGAAAACATTCACCTACGTCAATCATCGTAAACTTGTCGCTGTGTAAACGTGCGCGTGACCCAGAGGCTGTGTTCCATGGCAGCGAGAGAAATAAAAACACCTATCGGCAGGCGCCTACCCTAATCACAAATGATCGCCGCCGACTCTGTCCAGATAGAAGGCGCACGTGTGAGGAAAGTTGAACATTGATGAATGTTTTCCGCCCGCGCAAGAATCAATTTGCCCGTCACCATTGTCCGTCTCGCAAAGTCCGCTCTGGCGAACAAGGCGCCATCATCGATTTCTAATGCGCGCCCTAAAGCCATCTCACCCATGTCCACGGCAGTGGCACGGAGGGTGATGACTCGGGAATGAGAAATGGACCTGGAATTCCCAAGTAGAGGCACAACATTTAGAAGTTGGAACAAGGTGGATCTAAATCTGTTCTTTAACGGCGGTTTGTAGTGGTTGCGTTCGTGAAGGACAGCGCGTAATGGAAACACCGTGTTGTAATTAATGATATCTAATATAGGGTAAAGCACAGACCGCGATCATACGTGAGATGCGTACGCAGGCTAAACAAAGATTGAGGCACGTGGGTAGCATTTAGAAGCATCCAGCAGCAATGTAGTTCGCTGTGATGAAAACATAACAGAACAGACCGTATTCTTTGGGTCTTTCGGTAAAGTCACGTAGATAGGTTCAAAGAAATCAACAAAATAACATAAAACTACGACGTTTGGATCGCAACACAAACGTCGTAGTTTTTGTTATTTTGTTATCTTCTTGGAACCTATCTACGTGACTTTACCGAAAGACCCGAAGAATATGAATTCCTGCAGTCACGGAAGCTTCAAGTCAAAAGGTAAAGGTGCAGCCCTGCTCTCACTTGCTTACATCACTGCTGGCAGGAGGGCCTCCACTCTAAGAGAAGAGTTGGCCTACTCTTCCACGTTGCACAGATATTGTGTGTATGTTGAAGTTATTTCGCGCCGTACGTAGCCAACCGTGCGAATCGGAGTTGCGAGGGAAAGACAACAAACTAAGCAGTTATAGTTTGTCGGGTCTACCAAGCAAATTAAACAGTACTCTTAGGTTTTTTCTGTAAAGTCACGTAGGTAAAAAATAAAATTAATAAAAGTAAAATAAAAATCACGACGTTTCGGAGGCAACACAAACTTCCGTCTTCAGGTGGAACCGTCACAGCACGATTGCTGTATCAAGTAAAGCCAGCGTCTCGAGAAGCTGTGACTTCATGTCTCGTTGTCTGTTAAAAACTCTAACAGATAGGTGAAATTCCTCCCCGTAGAGGGTATTAATTCTAGATTTGAAGCTTCGTGACTGCAAGGATTCATACTCTTAGGTTTTTTCGGTAAAGTCACGTAGGTAAAAAATTAAATAAATTTTTTTATTTTACTTTTATTAATCCTACCTGGTTCAATAAACGCAATTACAACGAAACGACATTGTAAGTGTACTAGAATGGCATGTGTAGAAAGTTCACAATTGCATTTCAATCACGTGCATGGAAATTACAGCACTGAAAACAGCGGCAGTCGCTTTCATTGCATGAATGCATTATCTCTCTTTGGTCATCCTTGAGTGTTTTGAGTGGCACGTCATCATAGTAAAGGCAGAGCTTTTGAAGTCATTTCGTGACTTTGTGCTGCAATTGACAAGTGTGAGCTGTGGCCAGTCGGCTTTAATGCAAATTGTATTGGACAGCGTCAGCTATTAACGATCCTTTAGCGCGCTTGGATAAAAGTCTGGGGTTTTAATCCCATCGACCATGCTAAAATTGTAGGATGGCTCAATAGCAGCGACAACAAAAAGCATCCTAATGCCAGAATCCCCACACGCAACCAGCTTTTTAAAGTGGAATTTGCAGTTATTCGGCTCGCTTATGCATTTCACCCACCTATGCATATTACTTTCGCGCAGCAGTTTTCTATCGCCCTGTAACCATTCATCTGTCGAGAGCTTAGCGCATAACACAAGCTTGAAGACGTTTGACCACCGTGGAAGAGTAGGCCAAATGCCCTCTTAGATGTGCTGTCTAGAGCTCCCTCTAGTGGAGGCCCTTCGGCCAGCAGTGATGTGTATGCACGTATGTGGAACTTATTTCGCACAGTACATAGCCAACCACGCCAGTCGGAGGTGCGGCGGAAGGACAACAAACTAAACACAAGTTCGATTTAAAGCTTTCGTGACTGCAGAGATTCATCTTCTTGGTTCTTTCGGTGAAGTCACGTAGAAGGGAAATAATAACATAATAAAAATAAAACATAATAAAATGCAATTCTCACGACGTTTCGGCCACAACGCAAGCCAGCCGTCCTCAGGTGAATTATTTATGCTAAGATGTTCTTCACCTGAGGACGGCTGCTTGCGTTGTGGCCGAAACGTCGTGAGAATTGTATTTTATTATGTTAAATTTTTATTATTTTATTATTTCCCGTCTACGTGACTTTAACGAAAGAACCAAGAAGATGAAAACTAAACACACAATGCAGTTCTAAAGAAGTGAGTTTACAATCGATATTTAAAAGTGCATGTCACCAGTGGCTTCCTAAGGAAGAGCGTTCCAGACGGCCGCAGACACGCATCTGAAAGCGTGCAATGCAGTTGCCGTCTTAATTGTTAGATGGCCATCCAAAGCCAAAGCGAGGATTGTGAGCAAACATTAAAGAACGCTACAAATCAATGCAAAAGTCATCCCTGGCTATGCTGCCTTTAAAACATCAGATGATGTATGTGAATGATTTATGCTAAGATGCATTTTTTAAAAGAGCGATTAGTCCCAACATCCCAAACAGGGCTCCCCTGACACTAAGACTCTGGCAGGTGACATGGTCAAAGTCAAGACGCCAAATGATCACAGCAAGACCGTCGCTCTTGTTGGCCCATTAAAGCAGGGTATGACAAATTTAACTTCAAAGGGTACCGCTAGATGTCGCTAGAGAGATCGAGTAAAATAAACATTTTATTTCTGGTTGAGGCCACGTAAACATTATGAATCATGATATTGGTTTCGAAGCCCTTGCCTGTTCAGTTGTATCTGGTAAAGTCCAAGTAACCTGCATCGTGAACTGATGCAGGATCCTGAATATTGTACAAGCTTGGAATTGCTCCTAAATCTATACAATGTCATTGTCATTCTATAGATTTGAAGTTTTCGTGACTGCAAGGATCCATACTTTTTGGTTCTTTCGGTAAAGTCACGTAGGTGAAAAAATAATAATAATAAATAATACAAAATATATTTTGAATTTTTTTTATTTTGATTTTAATAGTTGTATTCTATTATGTTTTTACCTACGTGACTTTACCAAAAGAACCAATGAGTATGGATGTCATTGTCCCAGAAATTCGGCAGCTTGTCCTTCTCCGGGCACCTCCGATTAGCACGGTTGGCTATGTACGGCGCTTAAGAAGTTCAACATACAACGCAATTGTGTCGCTAGGGGTTGCGAGATGCCCTTTCTGGGGGTGCGAAACACAAATGAAGCACGGGCACGCAAATACAACTACTTACCTTCATCAAAACCTATGTCTTTATTAACATTGTACATTTCTTTTTACGATTAATAACCAAAGGGGCGTAAGGCTGCAGTGAAGGTTAAGAACCACTGCTTCAGATGTAGCGACAAAGAGGCCGTCCATAAATGACGTCACACACTTGGGGGGGGGGGGTCAGACATTTGTGACGATGTGTGACGAGGGGGGGGGGTGAGAAATGTGACGTAACATCAAAATGCGCAACTTTGAATAAATATGGACAACACGTTCTACTTAATTAAATATACTTTTTAATAAATGTTTTGTCCTATAACATCAGAGTGCAGCGCCACATTAAATACGCACTACAATGACAATAGTTTAAAGCGATTTGAAGCATGATTTATTTTTTGGGGGGCGGTGGGGGGCAGAGCTTTGTGACGTCAGTTTTGAGGGGGGGGGTCTGACTTTTTGTGACCCCGTGTGACGATGGTGGGGGGGGGGGTCAAAAATCGTCCAAAATCGCGTGACGTCATTTATGGACGGCCCCAAAATCATCAAGTTGATAGCGCTGGTGAACAGCCAAACCGGCTTCCGCAGATTTCCTTTAGCTCCGACGCTCAATACTCAACAACGTTGGATAGCCCCCGAGAGGCCCAGGGGATCCGTGTGTGAGTCACAACCTTCGCCTCGCGGCGTTAATCACTATTACCGTCGCACACTGAGAATCGTGCCCCCTAGCGAGCGAGGTTACGTGTACACGCACGCTTGCCCTTGGGATTAACACGCGGGGTTGATCCCAATTTCAATCATGTTAATCGTATTCGTGAGCGGTTCTACTCCTGGGTTAGATTTTTTGTCAGTTTTTTCTCTTTCTACCCTATTCTTTTCGATATTTTGGTGATTTCGAAAGGTTTTTTGGTTTGGCCATGTTTGTTTGTTGTTGTACGGAGTTAGAATGATGGCTATAATCTAAGTTATCTTGTGGTTTACATGATGAGACCTCCTTTACCAGTGGCAAAATATAGTAATAGGTTTTTACCCTTTCAACTGGTACAAAACTGACACCTTTCACAAAACTGACACCTTTCAAAATGCAAACAAAT